CCCCAAACCCCCAAAACAAAAAAAAACACAACCAACCAACCAACAACCCACCAAAGAGAAATCCCTACAGAAGTCTCTGTACTGAAAGGAAGATACTGAGGCCCAAGACCAGAGCTACATGACATGTAGAAGATGGTTATGGCCTGCCATGGATCCTTAAACTGTAAAACTTCATGGATTTTTTTGTTTTTTTTCCTGGTAACTCAGACCACAATTTGATGGCATGTTTGAAGGTGAGGAGGGCAACGAGAGGAGGAGATTTTGGACAATCTCATTTTATTTAACTTTCCTTTTAGCATAATCCAGTAGCAAAGAGAGAGGAGCTTTTGCAGCCTCTTATGACCTGCAGAAGTGCTTGTTGCTGCTCTGTTTGTAGTTCTTGGTATAAGTCAGAATGGTGGTGCATCCTAGATCCATAAAAAATTAACCTTTTAGTGGCAGTCTCTCTTTAACAAGTGGTAAAAGTGCACTTCCATGTAGGAATTTCAGTTCTTGGTAATGAAATTCTATGATTGTGACCCTTTTGCATTCCCCATTGAAGTTAAATTAAGAACAAGCAAGCAAGCAAGCAGATGCTCTAGTTATATTAAAGGAAAACACACAGAGGCATAAGTACTTAAAGACCTTTGGAAAAATAAAGCATAAATCATGTTAATGTATTTGTATGTAATGTTAGTAGTTAACACTGCCATTCTGCATGCTTGACTGCAGCAAGTCTACCGGTAACACAAGGTGGCACCATGGAATCCAAAGTAGGAGTCAGTGTCGGGTGCTGGGCTGTTAATGTTTTCCAAGTAATTGCAGTCATTCTAAGTTAATGCACAATAATTATCTAGTGTGCCTCTCGTCATCCTGAAATGACAGCCACATATTGTTTAAGCGTGTAGTCCCACACAACGTTGCTCAAAAGGCTGTTGTCTTTGGCGTAGGAGTAAATCAGGAAATCTACTTCACCTTCTATTGAAACATATTTACCTGTGACAGTGGTATTTCCGCGGAGTGCTTGGATTGGCAAAGACAAATAATGGAATAAAAAAAAAACCAACCCAAAAAATAACCCTACCAGCAGCAGCAAACACAAACCTACTGTTTCAAATGGAATCACATATCGTGAAGTGGTATGTGCTTAGTATGTTAGTGCTTGTGTTTCAACCAGGAAGGTGAGGCATTTCACTGCTTTTGGCTTGCTCAAGGTCACAACTGAATAAGATCATCCATTGCTTTAAGAGATTTATAGAAAAAGTGCATTACAGGAAGTGATTACTGTAAACTCCTCTCACTCTGATAGGGAAACCTTCAAGAATTATGTAACTGTATGGTGAAATGAGTGTAGTTAAATGACAAGCAGTGTGACATTGCTTAAATCAGTGTTGGTGAACCTAGAGAAGAGTTGTCAGCTATTCAGTGTTTCATATGAGTTGAAGTGGTTACTGATAATTTAAGTGAATATAAAGATTATATAGGACATGGAGGTGCTGGAGCGTGTCCAGAGAAGGCGAAGGATCTAGAGTACATCTTATGAGGAGCGGCTGAGAGAACTGGGGTTGTTTAGCCTGGAGAAAAGGAGGCTGAGGGGAGACCTTAGTGCTCTCTACAACCTGAAAGGAGGGTGTAGAGAGGTAGGGGGTCAGTCTGTTCAGCCAAGTAACAAGTGTTAGGACAAGAGGAAATGGCCTCAAATTGCACCAAAGGAAGTTTAGATTGGATATTAGGAATAATTTCTTTACACTTTCAGTGAAGAAAGGTTCTCAGGCATTGGAAGGAGTTGACCAGGGTAGTGGTGGAGTCCCCATCCATGGAAATATTTAAGAGCCGTGTAGACGTAGTGCTTAGGAACATGATGTAGTTGGGGACATGATGTAGTTGGGGACTTGTCAGTGTTAGGTTAAGGATTGAACTCAATGATATTAAAGGTCTTTTCCAATCTAGGTGATTCTATGTGATTCTGAGATTATATCTTATTCTAAGAGACCTTGGTTTAAATTTTTAAAACTGTGGAAATAGAAGATTCATCAAGTAACTATTGATGAAAGGTTTTTAATTCTGTCTTTTTTATGACATAGCAACAAAGGGATGAGTGAGAGAATGGTGTATGTAAATTTCTGAAAAAAAATGTTCCTTTGCAGTTTAGTAAGAGGGGAAAAAACCACCTTTAGACTAAAGACTTTGTCAGGACCGGTTGTGTTCTTAATTAATAGAAGTATCACAGTGGTTGAGGTCTTAATGACGCTCAAGCATATTTTGCTGGATACTTGACAGATGTATTAAAGATAGCCTTTGCTGAAATAAGCTTATGATCTTAATTGTTTCCAAGCTTAGTAACTGCATGGGATTAACTTAATCACATAAATAGTGCCTTGGAAACCTATATGATTGCTCTTGGGTTTAAAATGAAATATGCATTTAAGAGTTGGCAGGATTGGGTCCTCAGTGCCAGACTGGATATAGCGAATTCCCTTGTGATAGATCACTACAAAAATTGCTTCTGGAAGAGTCACAGCAACACCCTTGAAAGTGAGGTTTTGTTGTTATGTAAATGTAGAACAAGACCTTTTTAAAAATAATGGAGATAGAAAGGGAAAACATGACAAGAAGTTATTGTAGTAGTCGCAGTTCTCTGAAATAATCTGTTGAACTCTACAGCATTTTCTAAGTGTTATCTTTACATTATCTTTAGACAATTTGCATTTGATGTATTTGCTGAATGAAGTTAAAATGATAAATTATGATAGAATGAACACCATTGTTAGGTTCCTGCTTTGGCAGAGGGATTGGACTAGATGATCTTTTGAGGTCCCTTCCAATCCCCAACATTCTGTGATTCTGTGATTGTTATGTTCAAAGATTGTTATGTTCAAATCCTTTACTTTTAATTGTATGAGTGTACTGTAGCTTTTGATTTCAAATGTGACCAGCATACCCAAAGAAAAAAGCAAAGTGGGAACTTTTGCAAACTGATAGTGTTGTTTGTAATAAGTTCTCTACAGGCACAAAAGTGGGCATGCTGTTTTTGCTGAAAGATTGTCAATGTAAATACACCTGCCCTCTAAATACAAATATAATAATATGTCTGTTATTGTTAAGCTGTCAAGCAAAACATATTTATGTTTGACAGTTATAGATGCCTAATCCTGCAAACTGCATAAGTTAGATGAGTAATCAAAGAATACGTGTGTTTGAGGGAGTTTCTGCAGCATTTTTCTGGTAGTGAGCTCTTGGGAGTCTCTGAATTGTGCTGTTGTGCAAACAGGTGTCACAGTTCATTACAACCAGTCTGACCGACCTTCTGTAGTGGATCTGCATGCTCTCCTTAGTCTTGCTTTCATGGGATCATGAAGGCTGTTTATAGGCCTGGTGGTCCTTTCCAAGTAGGAATGGAAAGTGCAGTTTTTGCAATTTCATGGAGAAAATGCATGCTTTTTTTTAATCTTTTTTCGCTCCTTTATGTATTTGTTCTTTTCCAAATTACTATCAATAAAATAAAATAAATTTTTTAAAAAAGAAAACCTGTCTAAAATATATTAACTGATCTTTTCATCTCAATTTTTTTCTCTCTCTGAATAAAGCCCGAGAACTTACTTTTAGCTAGCAAATCCAAGGGAGCAGCAGTAAAACTGGCAGACTTTGGATTGGCTATAGAAGTCCAAGGAGAACAACAAGCTTGGTTTGGTAAGTAAATATTTTTTCATTTTCCTCACTGTTTATTCAGTGTAGCCGTTAAGCCTCCCAAACCGCCCAGCTCTCGCCCTAGTGCAAAACATGCAGCTGTGTGACTACTTGATACGTAGCTTTAAGGGGTATTTTGTTCATAGTTGAGTTTGTACAGTTGATGACTACACTTCAGACCTTTTTCTCCAGGAAGAATGTTACCTTTAATTCTCACCAGTTTAAACAGAGCTTGGCAGCAGACTGTATTTGTTTAAAAAATAAAAAAAAAAAAATAAAAAAAGGAAAAAAACATCCGCCAGCACTTCAGAAGTGACCTTTGGTTACATTTCCAAATCTCAGGTCTCACTTAGACAAGAAGTGGCTCTGCCTCATAGCCTCCTCTTCACTAGCAAAGATAAATCACCTTACATCAAATAAGTTGGTAACAGTCTCTTCTGTTGGTACAAGTGTGTTCATATGGTGATTTTGCCAGCACAGTAGTACTCGTACAAGGTAGGATGGAGAGAGAGGGTTTTTAAATAATGCTTCTAGTAAATACAGCTTTACAGATGTCCCTTTTGCATGTAGTCTTAAGTACCATTGACATTTCTTGACCCTGAAACTTGGATTTCATGCTTCCTGGCTTGTCCTAGCTTTTGGGAGCCTGTAAGTTTGGCTTAGGTGCACACAAGCCCCTTCCCCCACACTTTACCCTCTGTATCTTAAGGAAGGAAATATGGGTGTAGAGCCTGGGAGGGAGGTGGGTGTTTCCAGTCAGGTGATCAGATGACTGAGGAGTAAGACCATAGGTTAATACTGTTGAGTGTACCTGCCCAGTTGTCAAAACATTTTGTCTGAACAGTTATATGTCAGCTGGAAATACCTGAAAGGTTTATTCTGAAGCACTTTGGAATGTGACTTGAACAGAAAAAAAATGAAATGGGTTTTGAGTACCTGAGGCTGTAGACAGTCGTCCACATCCAGATCTTGCCGTGACAGTGCAAGTTACCTGTCTCAGCTCTTCATATTGCTGTCCTAGAGGTGACTGCCCCTTCCCACCTGGAAGTAAAACTGTTCTTTGACCCACTAAGATAAAAATAAGCTGGCTTATTAAAAATGTACAATCATTAGTATATAAGCAACTCATATAGTAGATCATGGAGAGCATAAACCCAGGAAAGTAAAGGGTAGTTAAAAGCATCTGGAACCTTGCACAATAGTCTGGAAAGGGTTGTCTATCCATGACTTACAGACATCTTCTGAAGTTGGGACTTGAGTTCCTCAGCCACTTTGGTGATTTTGAAAACATTATTATCTTCATGCAGAAGGGATCAAGAGTACACTTACTTGATGGTGAAGGTGACAAAGATGTGTGGGAATGTGGAAGCATGTGTGTGACCACCAGAAGAGAGCACATTCTGTGCTTCAGACCTGCTTGTGATCTATTGGAGAGGGAGGGTGTCTGCCCTCCTGAAGGTGGCAATTGATGGTGTAAATCAAATCTCCAGATTGATAGTTGGAATGTATCTTACATGTCCTGTACAATGCTTCACTTCAGGTTGTGAGAAGGGGATGGGGAGTAGTGAATAAATATGCATTTCTCTCCAGTTCCACTACAGTATTCCTTTTTATTGTTCTTTTTTTTTTAAATGCTAATTGCAAAGTGTTTGTTATTGGTAACAGATGCCCAAAGGAAAATGTGATTTAATGCTGATCATTTTAAATAATAGGACATGTACAAATGTGATGCATCTATCTCACATGTCACTCTCTTGGAACTGATGTAAAGCACAGGACAAAATGTATTGTAAATCCCAGAAGGAAAAAATACAAATAAAATATTTATAGCAACTGCCTATTCTCACTTGCAGCAGCTAGAAAGTGCAGTTTCAGATTGAACAAAGTGATTGTTAGCTTGCTGTCAAAGCTTAGAATAAAAGCACAAACGATTGGGCACAGGCAGTGGGTTAAGAGATTTGAGCTTTTGAAATCTAGTATATAACTACATGTGGATGCACAGGCAGTGACATTGGACATATGTTGGTAGCTTTATAAGCTAGTCTGTTGTTTTAAATCCCAGCCTTTATATAAATGGATTTCAATAATCCACAAAAGACAGAGGAGGTAACTGTTGCACGTTAACAAATAGGCCAGTACAGAAAGAATGGAATAGAAATAAGACAAAACAAAGGTGGTTTGTTCTAATGACAAAACCATCAGGTAAACAGGAAGCATCTCAAGAGAAAAATCAGCAGAATTAACTTGACTTCAGGGATATTTTCTCTAGATAATACATCTGAATGGATGCAGATGATGCACAGGAGATTGCAGTTCCCTGTAAAATCTTGCACTTTATTTTTTGGTCATTTGATTCTTGTGAAGTGCTTGGTTTAGGCTCGTAGCATCGTGAGGAATGCCATGCTGAACTTGGTAGAAAGGAGATTGAACAGAATGTCTTCAAGAATATGTAAGGAAGAGGTAAACTGGCAGCAAGCGTATAGAAAGAAAGTAGTCTAATGTGGCTCTGTGTTTTAATTTATGGTATTTGATAGGACTAGTGGGTTCTGTACTTTTCCTGGAACTTCCTCTGCAAAACCTTTCCATAATGGTCTGAGTGCCTTCCTTCATCTTTATGACTGCTTTAACAGGCAAAACATGAACTCTGATGTGCTTGACGTTTTGAACTTTTTTCATGCTTCCTTCCAGAATTTTTTTCTGCTTTCCACTGGATTCTGCAGCACTTAGTGACTCCCCCATCTGATTCTAATTATAGCTATGTATCAGGATGTTTTTCTTCCCCCCCCACGTTCTTTTTGGGTGTAGTCCTCTGATATGAT